TTCTCTAATGAATAACCAAAATTTCACGTTAAATTCGCGTGATCGGTATCTTGGAGGAAATTAAGAGGAAAAAAAAATAGATCGATTCATTAAATTAAAATTATCGGATTGAAGAATAATTTTTAAGGGTTTGGCACGTTATCAGTGAATCGATACGCAAATTAATCCTTCCATCCTTATATCCCTTCGTTATCGATAAATTTCCGCTGGTCCTAAACTTGACAATGCTCACGACAATTATTACATTGATTGCGGTTTATTGAACACATATGTGCGATATTTTTAGAATTGAGATTATACATGTGCACGAATTATTAAACTATTATAATATCACGTTTTCCTCATTATTTTTTTTCTGCAGAAGTACGATACCGAAATCGGATATTTTTTAATTGGAAATTTTAAATTAAGAAATAATTTCGAAAGATTATATAGATCGGTGTTAATTGCGATAAAAATAAATGTCTACCTGTTAATTATTTTTCAATTAGTTGCACAATTTGTTATACTTAAATAAAAAAGGAAGAAGAATTAAAAAGGAAACTTCTTTTCTTTGGTTCTTTTTTCTTTTTTTTTTTTCTTTCCGCTATTATATTCGTCTATTAATTTGATCGAAATATAAATTAATAGTTTTGAAAGTATCGGATAATCCTTGACTTGAATCAAGAGAGCCGATAATCTGTCGAAGTTAAATTTTCATAACTCGCCAAGACATCCCGGGGGCAATTGCAAGTTTTTACCTTAGCATCCACGTTACCTTCCTCACCGACTGCGAAAGATCTGAAACGATGTGAAACTAATTTGCATACAAAGTGAATTTTGCATCATTTTTTTCATTCTTTTTTTTTTTCAAATTCATAATCTGATTCTATATATATTTTCGTAACTTTTCGATTAACAAATCTATCTGTCAATGAAATGAAATATTTAGAAAATATTCAGAACTAAATAAAATTTTTGAAGATTATTTTTCGATTATTCTTATTCTTTCGATTATTTTGATTTATTCTTATTCTTTCAATTATTTGAATCAGAATTTTTACATTTTAAAGATAGATAAAACTAATGGAATCATTTCGATGTTTATCAATGTTTATCGATCTTGAATATAACTTAAAATTTAACCTAAAAACGTCCTAAAATAATGTTACGTTCTAAAAATGCTACTCTAATTAAAATTATCACTTTATTAAAAATTAATAAATTAATTAAAATTCAAATTATTATTTATTAATTTACATTAATATAATTAAATTTTAAATTTAATGCGCTTATATGCTAAAATAATATTTAATTTATTGATTAATTTTTATATATAAATAATTTACAAATTTAAGTCCTTTCAGTACAATTAATATTTACTTTATTATGGATAGAAACCAACCTGACTCGATTCGAACTTAAATCATATAAGATTTTAAAAATCGAGCAGACTTAAACGTTAAAAAATTTAAACGTTATTTAATTGAACGTGGATTTATGGTAAAGTCAATAATAATTCAGCCACTTGTTTATTCGATTATTATTATTTCTTTCGTTCGTTATTAATGAATCGAGATACAAAAAAGATATGATAAACGATTCGAGAAAAAAAAAATGGAAGGGAAATTTCATTGATCCAGTAAGTAAAGCAAAGTTAAGTTTAGAGATTCGACGTTAATAAAGTGGCCGGCTAGGTACTTTTCGCGAGTGCTTCAATTTCGAGATTACGCGGAACGAATATAACGTTCGAACGAGCAACAATCGACGATGAATCGTTTTGCCATTGTTACTGTTTATTTTTTTCCATCAGGATTTTATTATTTTCCTCTTACGTAAAGATTCGACAAGTTCGTTACGATTGTTCGCAGTTATTGAAATTTTTCGTGAAATTTTTTTACACTATTCAATATATTTAAGGTATGATCGTTCGATGTAACGCGTGGAAAATGTACAATGGATTACAATTTATTGAAACAAATTGCATCTATTGACATAAAATAAATGTATTGTTCAAAAAAAAAAATTGAAACAAGGGATATAAATTAATTTTGTGTAAATGAATTAGTCCATTCAAAAAAGAAATAGAAAAAAAAAAAAAGAAACGAATAATAGATAAAGAAACTGTAGAAAAGTAACATGATGTAGTTAAAAGCAGCCACTCGATATTTAAAAAGAGGACGATGAACAATGGAAAAAGTTTCGAAATTCATTATAAGAATTTTCTGGTTGACACATTCAACTGATAGAATTATTTAAGTTAAAATGAAAATTGCGTTGTGACAAGAAAAAAAAAAAAAAAAACGAATAATAGATAAAAAAACTGTAGAAAAGAAACATGATGTAGTTAAAAGCAGCCACTCGATATTGAAAAAGAGGACGATGAACAATGGAAAAAGTTTCGAAATTCATTATAAGAATTTTCTGGTTGACACATTCAACTGATAAAATTATTTAAGTTAAAATGAAAATTGCGTGGGGAAAAGAAAAAATAAAAAAAAAAAAAAGTAGAAAGTTTTGAACAACTAACTATAGTATAGTACGTGCAGAGTAAATAAAGTGATCATAACGTGAGTAAAAACTAACTTTGGAAAAGAAAACATCGTGTCTTTCCGTCTAAGATGCTCTTATATATTCCATTGATCGATTGATCGCCTAATATCTATTATTCGTTAACTTAATGTAAATAAAAACATCCGGTATATAAAACAAGGCAGTCCGCTTTAACGATCTCGACGAACTTCATTTAAAGTTTCGTAATTTTCTACGTAGGTGCGCAAGAAGATTGATTCATCTTGCTCTTAACTGTATTTAAATTTATTATAAAAAAAGGTGTGATGTCTGAAAAAAAAAGATTAGGATTAACTGTTGATAGACTAGATTCTTCTAGATTTTTAGATAAGAATGCATCCTCTATCCTCTTCTTATTCACACTTGAGGACGTCGAAAGTTTTGACAAAGAGAAAAAGAACTGGGGCATCCTGTATATAGGAATATTTAATTCCCTTTCACGATCTCCTATTATCCCTTTTTACAGATGAAAAAAGTTTTTTGCTCGTTAGACGATCGTTTAGCAAAATTACAGAATTGCATTCTCTACAAAAGATGGTGGAAAAACCTACCTTTGTAAAATTCCTCATTGTTAATCGATAAACGGCCGGCCGACCATCATTTTCCCTTATTTTCCGGCAACCGTCCCGCATCCTTCTGTTTCTGATCTATTCCGGCCTGCGAATAATTTCACGCCTGTTGCCTCGTGCAATATTTTCCTGTTCCTCGCCCTTTCTTCTACTTCTTCCCACTGTCGCCATCCGCCACCGTAATTAAAGCGTTCAGAGACAAGTTTAAGCACCAAGTCTGAACGAAGAATCTTCTTTAACCTTCTTGCCTAAGTCTTCTCTCTCTATTTGTTCCACCGATGTATCTCATCTCATATGATGGATGCAAACTTCAAATTTTAATCTTCTACAAAAACAGGTTACACGTAAATTATAATATCGAAAGAACAATTGAAATTATAAATGAATATATATATATTGGGTTGTTCGAAAAATAATTTCGTTTTCTTATGACAATGAAACACCAAGTCGTTTTACGTGATCGTGAACAATCGGATTCGACAAATTCAATCTCGTAGCAATTTCTCGAGTTGTTATTCATCGATTTGCTTCAATCAGTGCCTTTAGTTTGTCTTCATCAACTTCAACTAGTCTTCCAAAACATGGTCTTTAATATGCATCGAAATTGTTGAAACGAAATTTTAAAAACCACTCTTGACATATTGTTAATAACCTTAATAACCTTCTCTATAGATTTCGCATAATTTTTTTCTTGGCTAAACAGCATTCTTTTCGGTAATAAAAAAGTAAAATATGCTCCTTTTGGTCTTGCACTTTTATTATCATGCAAGAAAAACACAATCGCACAGAGAATCAAACGAATTTTTCTTATAAATAAATCACGAAATGCCAAGTCTCAAAATATATAACAACACGATTTAGAATGAAGTTGGCTGGATAAACGTTCAATTAGCGACACTCGTGTGAAAAAACGAAATTACTTTCCGGACAATGAATATATTTTACTGATTTTCTTCGAGATCAATCGCGGCAAGGTTAAACCGCGAGGTGTCAAATGTTAAATTTATTAATCTTCGTTTGCTTGAATGTAGTTAGCTGTCCTCTAAAACGGAATATCGACATGATCAATAGAGAGTTACGATCCGTAAACAGGACAATGAAAACGATAGTGGCGCGGTGACTGGTGAACAATAACAACTTATCACCAACTTTGAAACATTGTCATTTTCATTCAACTTTTGAAACATGATTCTATTAATAATATTAATAATATCTGTTGTGTGAAAATAACTAACAATTTTTTGTAATCAATTTTTTTTTTTCTTTCTTGAATCGACGAGTCGTTTTGGAGGTTATCCTCCAAGCTCGATTATTAATTTAACACTTTTTCACGAATGTTTGCCAATTACAAAGTGCATGGGAGTGAAAAAAAAAAAAAATAAGCGACAATGACAGAAAAAAGGAAACAGAGGAATTGAGGAAGGACGAGTTTGCGGAGGCGACCAACTGGCGTAATTGGAAAGCGGGACAAGCGACCCCAAATTACCAGGCGCAAATTAAGCCCCAGGTGTTAATGAACTCGCGACGTTGTTGACGACGAAATTGCAACGATCCTCGATGTCTATATCGGCACATCGACCCAGATTCATTCACTTCCGAACTTGACCTTCTCATTTGTTGCTCTCGTACGAGCCTTCTTGCTATAAATAAAACGTTCGAACGTTAGAATGCCTCGAAAAACTAAAAATAATCTTTATATTGTACGTTCCAAAGTACAGTTCCTTTGACTTTTAATGCTTTGATGGTGTTCAACAGTAGTTCAAATAACGTATATTAATCGAACAAAATTAATTTTCAAATTTATAAAAAAATAATTGTTTCGATAATTATGTAACAACTATATATTATAAAATTTTAATCCTCTTTTTAAATGTTTAAGATTAAACGAAATATATAGGCAAACAACTAATCAATAATTGATCGGTCTCGTTTCAATAGTTGAGAAATATTCTGTAAATTTTTTAAGAAGCATTTGAATTTCAATTTTATGGATATAACGGATCTCGAAAGATCTATTTTTAATATTTTTAATTTAAATTATAAATTATCGATAAGTTTTTTTTTGTAAATTAAACTTAAAAGTTAAATAATTATTTTATATTAGAAATTCACGCAATGTAACGATTCGTCAATGATCTTTTTATATTTCATACCGTTTCACTTTATAAGAGTCGAATGAAAAGTAAAAATTTTCTACTTTTTTTTTAAACTTTTTAAAATTAATTTTAATATTCACGGTCACTTGTGATATATACTCGCCATCTAACAAATTTTTTAATCCAATCATTGGTATTTATGGATTAATTTTAAGTTACCTATTATTAGGAAAGTTACTTATTATTAGGAATAATATTCCTAACTTTAGTTGGCAATTTTTTTATTCTTTTCAATATTCCTTTCAATTTGAGCAATGCAATGTCTTTTTATAGTGTTTTTTTCATTTTATAATTTTTAGTTTTATCGTTTTTATCAAATTATCAAATTATTTTGTCAAATTATCACTGTTTAGACCCGTATCTTTTGGATAATTTATAAGATAGGATTGTCAAAGACATCTTGTAGCAAAACCATAACTTCTTTTTTTAATAAGCATTTTTTCCTTAACATCCGTTTCTTTGGAATATCATTTCCAATTCTCAAAATTCAGTTTATGGTATATTTATCAAATTCGAAGCGCTTTCTAAATTAATCGCCTGTTACAACTTTTTTGCTTTTTTACATCCACGGTTACTTAAAAGTTCAAATCACAAATATTCGTATATTTTTATATTTATATATTTTTTATATATTTATTATTATGTATTTTCTTTTTTATTTTACACTAATTAAATGCTATATTAATTTTTTTATATATTCAGTCATATTTTTATATTATATACATTTTTAATGAAATAATAAATTATAATAAAAAGCAATATTGTTTATTAAAAATTAAATCTCCGTTAGCTCCTATTGTTCGAATTGTTGTACGATACTATGTGAATAAAATGTTTTTGATCGAAATATCGACCACGAAAGTTACGAACAAGAAAAATATGAACGTATCGAGTTTCACAAAAGTAAAATTGATGTGTAAAACTAACTCGTATACCCTTTAACAATTCCTTGACGGATGTAAGTTAAGCGATATACGTTTTTTGAAAAATGTGAAAAGTCAAAGATTCTTCTATCGAGGAAGAAAGAATTGAAGAAAGCAAAACGCAATCTGGACTCGATCGAAAAGATTTTATATTTTATATATTTAGGTTATAAATCGAATTGAAAATCGAGGAAACAAATGTTAAAATTATTAATTCATCTTTCCACAGAAGTGAAAAATATAAGAGTATAAGAATTCGTTATACAATAATGCTTACACAAATATTTCACAGTCCTTTCACCTTTCCATACAATCTCAAACATGCGTCACGTCAAATCGAGCATACGTCATTTACACCATAAACACTGTGTCATCCTATTTCGCCTTTCTTCCTTCTTCCAATTCCAAAAATCCTCAAATATGATATCACCAAATCCTACAAACGGTGACCAATTCTTATCTTTGTTGCTTTCTTTTTTGAAAAACATAATAACAATTATATTTGAAAAGATAAAGTAATAACATAACAGCGAATTATGCGACTTTCCACTATCATTTGCATCATAAATATCGAAATACACGATCAATTGATAATTAATGCAATGTGATCTACACACACTAATGTAATTTAACGAAATAATTTCATTATAGTAGATATGTTTAAATAACGAAATGATGTTGAGAAAATTTGCTTGGATCGTTCTTCGAATTTACGAAATACATATTTTACAGAATATCATGCGCACTCTATCGCTATTTTTTCCAACGATTTTCCCTTTCGCTCGATGCTGGCCATGACTTTCACTCATACTTATTAGATGTAGTTAAACGTCAATCTTTTACGTTGAATTCCTTGTATCGATTTACGTATTAAAATTTTGGAAAGAGATTTTTCTATCAGTGATACGCAAAATTTAATAATTGAAGTTACTTCTATAAATAACTTTATTCAATAATTTATTCAAAATATAATAATAAATCGGAAAAAATTGCCAATGCCAAAAAGGTTATGTAAAAATCGGATCGATTATAATAATTACGAATAAATGTTATTCTTTTTTTTTATTATTCAATGGGTTAATGCCCAATTCTGTCTTCTCTCAATCTTTTAATTGTTTTTTTTGTCTTGATTTCATGAGGATAAGTCGAGGTTATGGAAGTTACTTTCAACCACGCCTGTTTGTTCTATAACATCCGATCGAAGGGTCTTCGTCCTTTTGACATCCTCTTTTGATGGAGGTACCATTAACCTTTATCAGATATCCCACACCAATTTTTCTCTCTCCATAAGTTTATTATCCACCATGAAACGTCCCATTTCTGGGATAACCTCCAATAAGCGATAAATAGTCGCACGCTCGATCTAACATTATATATATGTACATACAGCCAATAACGAATTTTACTACGTTTTATCGATACAATCTTGATGCAGGTATAATTAATTCAAAGAAAATATTGAATTAGCCTTGTTATTTCTATTTTTCATGCTTTTCATGCAGAATTAAAAATAATTTTTTCTTTAATCTTGTCACTGAGGTAACACAAATATTTAATAAAAACACAATATGTATACAATGTTTGTTACAAAACTTTTTTTTACCGAAAAATCCAATAACGGGTAATAAAATGTCATTTTCGCTTTGTTTCAGATACACTCGTTCCCAGTTTTTCAACACAATGATGTTGATGAGCGTGCTAGTGTCTCTATTGTTCGTCGTTATGGCTAAATGTCATCCCATATCCTACAACACATACGACGAAAGAGAATTGTCACGGGATCATCCACCACTCTTACTTCTCGTTGATCACCGAATTCCGGATTTAGAGGTATGAGAAATATCTTCCATCCCCCTCCCCTCAAGTTATAATGATGACACGAGTTATCGAATTGAAAAATGAAACATTGCCGTATCATCGCCCATATTTTCTTATTGATCGCGTTCAACGCCGATTTTCACTTGTTCCATTCTCTTCAGCATTTCTCGTTCATACCAGTCCTGCGCGTATAAATAAAACTAGGATTCAAATTCTAAAGGTCAATGAATATAAGTAAAACGGTAGGATGTCAAGTATGGTTGACATACTTTCCCTAAAAAGTGGATTTAAATATTGAATATGTCGGATTTCATTCTATCGATTTCATTTTTCATATTATATGCTCATGTGATAAAACGAACAATAAGCTTTTTATATTTTATCGTATTTATATATATATAAAATTTTAACGACACTATTAAATTATCGTGAAATAAATCGAAACATTAAAAAGCGTGAAATTATTTTAATCCTCGCGTGTATATAAAAATTTACTATTGAAATGAAAGTAATACAATAATGTCATTTTTTTTATTTTGAAAATTTTCTTTCGAATTAATTAACCTCCTATTTTGATTCGATATCTCAAAATCGCTAAATATTTCAATCGGTAATAAGCGATTTCTAACCAAGAATTCTTGAGCGATCACATGTATCCTTGTTTCGTGCTCAACGCAGACGTTCCTCCACACATACTTCGCTATTAACAATCATTCGAACTTTAAGCTTGACTAAAATATATCCTTTCGCGAATTGAATTCACACCGTGAATCGTGAACGAATATCTATTCCCTCATCTATGTTACAGAACAGAGAAAATCAAATATTATAACACGTCAAATCCGGATTTCATTTTATGGAGGCTTTGTATAAACAGATTATTGGAAATATCTCCGTTACCGAAATAGTCGATACCATCATTATTCTGAAACGCGAGAAATTATCCACGGTGTAAAACGTGTATAATAATAAAGCATAATACGCAAATGGTTAAATTATCGTTAAGAGGACTGTAATTGAAAATATAATTGAAGAAACGTCCGCCCATAATTTCTTGAGTATCAATCGAATACGCATAAATTAATATATAATATATATTCAAAGACAGAAATAATTCAAGGAAGTTGAATGGGGCATATGAATGCCGCGTTTGCATTTCTCGAGATATTTTTCTTTCTATTCTTCCTATTCGGTGCGTTTAATTAAAACGATTTCATTGTCAGGGACAGCGATCGTTGCCGGGAACAAGTCATGGGAACACAATCTCGCGAAATGCTCTTAATTAACGTCCATATTGTGGAAGTGATAGAATTTATGTCAAGAATGTTTGGAACGGAGCGATATATGCGCGAATTGAAAAATAAATAGTTGCTGAGAGAGGAGGGGGGG